CCCCCCCCCCCTCCCCCATCTCTAGTATGCAGAACAAGTTTGACATAATACAGGATAGAACTTTCGGAAACCATTTCTTTAAGCTTCTCATTAGTTTCTTATCCTAGGATTTGGGAGAAAACTTTTTATGATAATTTAGCTTTGTTTCAAAACATTTTAAAGTTGGATTAGTTTTCACTAATTTCTACTAGGATGAACTATTAAATCAATATATTAACTCTGAGACTGGATTATATCAGATCTAATAGTGGTATATCCTTCAAACATACAAATATATCCTCCAGTGAAGGATATAGGAGGGATCAGCAAACTTTCATATCCTCGCCGGTCAAAACCTCAAGAATGGGGACAGGTATCCCAGCTCCGGGTAGGCTAGGAGCAGAGATAGGGAAACCTCCCTCATCTCCAGCTCCTAGCAAACAACCAGGAGCATGTAAACCTCCCCCGCCTCCGCTTCGAACCCATTCAATATCACAGGATCCCAAGGCACAGGATGGAACTGGTTCTCTCTCAGAAAAACAGGTGAAATAAAAAAGATTGCATCAGATATTTCAGTATTCTTAAATTTTGTACAAAATCTGACTCTGTAAGTTAATAGGTCCTGTCAGAAGTATCAGCTCAAAATGATAAGATGGAGAACGATAGAAGTTCCGTGACAGGAAACTCACAAAACAGTTCTCCCTCTCATCAGAGTAAAACCTGTAGTTTGCCCCGGCAGAAGCGTCGAGGAGATATGACTCCGGGTCCAAATGTTGCAATCGTGTCTCCGATGCCGTCCTTGAAGAGATCAGATAAGATGAGCAAGGAAGAGAACTGTAAGAAGGAGGATACTGAGGATCCAATGCAAGGGATTGCTCCCATGGCTCCCTTGGGATTTTTCCGTGGAAGGAACGGCGGAGAGATTATGGGAGGAGGACGAGATATTGGGAGTATGCAGACTGTGAACACTGCTCTTGTTACAGGTAAATTATGCAAAAATAATATTTCTGAAAAAAAGTATTGAAAAAATTCAGTTATGAGATAAAAACGAAATAATATGTAGGAATGTCAAAGTTTCTAATCTCTTTATTTTTTTAACACTTCATATTTCAAACTTTGACTATTTGATCTATCAGAATTGAAATATCAAAGGATTACATCATCAAGGATTAAAGACTTTTTGAGTAATTTTTGAAGCCTCCTTAATTTCAAATAATTAAATACCTATTAATGATCAGAATATTTCATTTCCATGACGAGCTTCAAACACTTCGCTGATAAACAAGTTCATTAAGGAGTTTATTGTAAACAGGTTTAGCAGATATGTACTACACAGCATCATTGGAGTTGGCTTGTTTATCAGGGATACAGGAAGATCACATATTGATTCTTCTGTTTATTCCATAGTGATCAATATGATGGATTCACATTGTCTTCTACCTAATCTTTATATATATATAGAGAGAGAGAGAGAACAGAACCAATATACTCCACCCTGTACTCTCTACTCTAATATATATATAAGACAGAACCAATATACTCCACCCTGTACTCTCTAATATATATATATAGAACAGAACCAATATACTCCACCCTGTACTCTCTAATATATATATAGAACAGAACCAATATACTTAACCCTGTACTCCCTAATATATATATACATATAGGGCTATTTTTGTGATTATTACTCTAACAGCTTTGCTAGTATAAAACTAAGAATGCCAAAATTAGTTCAAAGAATTATAAAAACGAACTTTAAAGATGGATTAACAGTCATTTCTACCGAATCTTTATATATATACTAATATAGATATAAAACAGAACCAATATACTCCACCCTGTACTCTCTAATATATATATATAAAACAGAACCAATATACTCCACCCTGTACTCTCTAATATATATATAGAACAGAACCAATATACTTAACCCTGTACTCCCTAATATATATATACATAGAACAGAACCATTATACTCCAGCCTGTACTCTCTATTATATATATATATAGAACAGAACCAATATACTCCATCCTGTACTCCCTAATATATTAAAGAACAGAACCAATATACTCCACCCTGTACTCCCTAATATATATTTAGAACAGAACTAATATACTCCACCCTGTACTCCCTAATATATATAGAACAGAACCAAAATACTCCACTTTGTACTCCCTAATCTAAAATAAAGCATCACCATGTACTCCTATAATGTAAAACCAATGTCTCCAAGTTTATTAACACTACGGTGCCAGTTCATAAACTCATGGTTTTATAGCCATCAAATCTCAAAATATCTATTTTAGATAGAGTTTGCTAGGTATGAGAAATTTAGAGCAATTGAGCTTTGTCCTTCACTGTAAATACCTTACTAATATACATGATACGCTAATTACCTGTATGCTACTACACTAAATATATCATTTAATGATTCTAGCATAGTTTTGATGCTTATCTTTATACATGAGCTTCGTATTATTTGCATTATTATATACAGTACAGAGAGGCCCAATAAACACGGATATGATACAAGCACATTGATTTTTCCCTTTAACGGTATCAAGGATGTTTTCAAAACTGAAATGTTTTTATCTTTACCGTCTCGTAGAATAGAAAGAATTAAATCATTCATGGGATTGAAGGGGAGTTCAAATTGGCAGATTTTAATATTTTATGAAAACTGGGGAAATAATGTTTTGAAATTTAAAATTTCAACCAGTATATATCAAAATTGAAATCTAATCTTGTTGAAGATGTACAATGTACAAGTCCTTTTTAGGGGTTCTTTCTTAAATCTGAACATATTTAAAAATATGTAGATTTTAGATTCTAGATATATTCTTCACTTCATCTTCTATTTAGAGAACATTTTGATCTTTAAACATTTATCTCCCTTCCTTGCTTATAGAACATTTTGATCTTTTATCATTTATCCACCTTCCCTGATAGAACATTTTGATCTTTTATCCTCCCTACTCCCTCCCCCAACAAAGTTATTTCTTGGATATTTAAATAGTTTATTCTTTATTTCCAACCTTTTACTACGAAGGATTTATCAACACTTATCCACCATGCAATCTATCTATCTATCTTTTTATCTATCTGACATGCAATCTTTTATTTCCTTCCATATAAATGTTTATACTGTCATGAAACTGTTTTTGTTTTTTTCCTTTCCCTAAATTGTGTTTGTTCAGTTAAATGTTTATTTATGAATAAGGTGTGTTTTCGTAACTGATTGTGTGTATTCTTGCTATTAAAGTATTTGTTTCTATAATTTATATTATAAGTTTAAGTATTAATTGTATAAGTGTGCTTGTTTAGTGTTTGTGTCTGTCCTAGGAAATGTGTGTGTATGTCTGATGTATGTATTATGTATGTTCTACGTATTCGTATTAAAATATTCTGAATATTTAAGGAGCTAAGACATATCTAACAAATATATAGATATTAGGATATTTTCATCTAAATATTTTATTGAAGCAAGATTTTGTAGATTGAAAAATGTCAAGGCTAGCACCAAATATATTACAATAAAGAGATTTGTCTTGTTAAATATATTTGTCTCGAAAATTTCAGTTTTTTAAAATTTTGTAATTTAACAAACCATGAACCTTTTGATTAGTCAATAATAAACCTTCTATGTTTCTTCATTCATATTTTTAACAGATTTCTCCTCTATATATAAAATTTATTGTTACCCTCCTTTCTTGTTAACTGATAAACGTGGCATATTTTGTTTTATAAAAATATTCTTCATTCAACACAATTTATTGTTTCAGGGTTAAACAATGTGTGTTTTATTATTTCTAGATGTTTCTCTGAATAAACTTTATATAAAGTTGGGAATTTTAACTTTTCACAAAAGTTTTCAATATATTTCATATTTTGTTTTCATATATATTCAAAACATGTATCAAATCTTCAAAAATATTTTTGCTTTTTATTTCAATTTTTTTCTCAATATTTTTTTGTAATTTGATTCCTTTTAATTTAAGGTATTGAGGAAGGGTTTCTGCTTCAAATATAATCTTGGACCTTTGTCAATAACAATTATCGTGTAAAAATATAACTTTTTGTAAATATATAGATAGATAGATAAATTGATAAATACATAGATAGATATATAATCACTAATCAGCATAATCGAGTATACAATAATATATATTGTAATATAGATAGATAGATAAATTGATAAATAGATAGATAGATATATAATCACTAATCAGCATAATCGAGTATACAATAATATATATTGTAATATAGATAGATAGATAAATTGATAAATACATAGATAGATATATAATCACTAATCAGCATAATCGAGTATACAATAATATATATTGTAATATAGATAGATAGATAAATTGATAAATACATAGATAGATATATAATCACTAATCAGCATAATCGAGTATACAATAATATATATTGTAATATAGATAGATAGATAAATTGATAAATACATAGATAGATATATAATCACNTAAGGTCAATCCCCCCACCAGCTTTATATCTTTTTATTTACTTAAATCCGTCTAGTCATTGTATTTGCAGGAGGAAAATATTAAAACTCATATGTTTAAATCTGGATTGCAGGTCGGATAAAGTTTTCTAAAACTCATCCATAAATAAAGAGATACCATGCTGCAGGATATAATGAAGAGAGACTGTAGAGTTTTATCTTGATTATTTCTCAATTTGGTGTGGTTGGGTCCTGTACTAAGATTTATCTAGATTTTATATCATCTTTGTATTCTAGGTTGTGGAGAACAAGGATATATGTCGGACTCAGACGTTTGCCGGAGAAGGGGTAATATGGACTCCGGGTATATAAGCGAGGGCGGAGTAGATACCTATCTCCGGGGGCGGAACAAGGCGGATGATGGATATGCTAGTGAGGGAGGGGCGGAGTTCTATAATAAGAAGATAGAACAAAGAATGGCGTATGAACGGCAGAGAGAGGATGCTGAGAAAGCGTATCTTGAGATGGCTGGGAAATCAGGGAAACATAAACCACTCCCACAGGTTCTAGGACGACAGGGATCCGTTCACGAAGGGGATCAGGGGCTTGGTCGAGTAGAACAGGTTTACAAGGTTGTCGGAGGAAGAAGAAACGTGGAGAAAGCAGATTCAGGTTCGATTTATATTTAATTTTTTAGAATCAACAATCTTAATATCATTATTAAATAAATTCCAAAGATATCTTAACACTCTTCTTTTCCTCCTTATTTCTCCCCTCACATCACCCACCCTAACCACATAAATTAGTTTTCAACACTTCAAAGGAATTGTGAATTCAATGAAGATTTAGTAGCTTTATAAATCCTTGGTTTTCTTCCTTTATCTGGGCCCGGTTTGATCTGTTGTATAGGATTTGATAGGATTTGAAACCTGATCTTGATGCTGATAAATTATGTTATGAATACCTGAAGAATGCTTGGATTGCAGATTACTTGTCTTGTCTTGCTTTCCGCCCATATACTTCTTC